TTCTCACATTCCTTGTCTCTCTCTCTATATATATAAATAGAGTTAAATCTCCCCCCGCCCCAACACATTATATTCTGAGTTGGCCCTGTAGCCCAGTGATTAAAGAAACCAGACAACTAACCATGGTTAAAATTCTAAACTTGGCAGCTTGAAAACCATGCCAGGCACATAAGTATATGTGTCCAAAATCCCAAAAGGATGGAGAAATGGAACTGAAGGGATTGTAGTGTAACCATGCTCCATTGGGTCATGCTATTTCTCTCTCTCTTTCTCTCTTTTTCTGGTGAGTGCACATACCCTCTAGCAATTAAAATCTGATTAGGAATTGTACTACTGGCCCAATTGCTATGGTGCAGTTGTAATACAAGTGTCCTGTAAGTCTGGAAGCCATAGGGTAGTTGTGTGCTCAGATCCATGGGTTGGCATGAAAGCACACCAAAAGTATGCATATGGGCACCCAGGATGCTGAGGACCAGGAGAGCTGGGGTAAAGGGGACTGTAATGTAGTAAGACTCTATTGAGGGTGCTTCTCTCTCTCTCACTCTCTCTCTCTCTGTCCCCTCAGTGTGTACATGTGACCTTTAGCATATTAAAAAAATTGTATTACTGATAATAATCCACATAAAATTTGCTCTTAGGTTTTGTACAAGTTCAGCTCATGAATGGGGCCTCTCTCCAGATTACAGAAGTAATATATGAGCATTACCAAAACTTTTAGAAAATACTGAGGATTATTTTTTTTTAAGAATATAAAGTTTATCAGTAATTTCACTACTAAAACTTGGGTGTGCTTTTACTTCCACCTCAGTTCCACAAAGTTCACTGTGCACCTACTATGTGATGGCACAGTTCTCTTAAAGCACTACAGCGTTCAGCAAAGCAGTCAATATTCTTGTCCTCATAAAGATCAGTCCAAAGGACTGGCAGTAAACATAGAAACAAATAAATGGATTAAACTATTTCTAACAGTTATAAACAGTATATTATAAATGAAATGGAAAATTGGGCTAAAGAACTGGAAAGGAAGCTGACTTTAACTAGGATCCTTTAAAAAGGATCTTTTTGTGGACATAATATTTTACTGAGACCTACATTGTAAGGGGCAGCTCCTTGTTCTGGGAGACTCTCAATTTTTCCATCATGAGCCTCAGTGTCTCCCATTGTCCATATACCATACAGTCAGGGCCATGGGATACAGTGAATAACAATAAAGTGAGTGAAGCTTTTTGAGGAAGTATTGTTTTTCCCCCTCCCCGGGGTTGTTAGGGCCTCTTTACTTGTTCTTTTTCTATGATTATTATGTAATGCTCTGTGTGATCCTAGCTGTGTGGCTTAATTAAAATAATGGTTCTAAACCCAGACAATTGACCTAAAGAATTCTCCAAAGAAAACATGAATTAGGGAACACATTAGTAATGCAACCCAAATAAAAAGAAAAAGTGGCAGAGCATAAGTCTCTCCTACTCTAATATGACTGAGTTCATCACCTATATTATAAGGTAAATAGGTTTAATTAAATATGACGAGACACTCAAAAATCAGAAAAATTCAAGAAGACCATTTGAAATATAGATTAATATCTTTACACATACTCCATCAGAATGACTACGACTGACGGTAGTAAGTGTATTCGAGGACGGAGAGCACTAGAACGCCTGCACACTGCTGGTAGAAATGGCAAAGGAACATCCACTTTGGAAATCTGCTGGCTAGTTTCCTAAAAATTTAAATGCACCCTGACATGGGGAGGGGAGAGAAGCCAAACATTTAATGAACATAAAAATGGAAAATTGTCTGGTGATGATAATGTATATGGTAATATCTTTGACTGTACTAATATAAAATGTATTCATGCTGGGAAAATCCATTTTGTATGCTGTAAAGATGTACAGTCATTTAATGTAAAAAAAAATAAACTGAAAGAAGAAAAAATAATATATATGTGTATGTATATATAGATATATACATGTGTATATGTGTATGTATATACACACATGTGTAAATGTGTATATACATACACATATATATTTTTGCTCTATTTTATTTTATTTTTTTACATTCAATCACTGTACATACACACATACACGTAAACTGTATATATACACATGTATATACATATATGTGTGTATATTACACACACACACACATATATATATATCACCCTGCCATACAAACCAGCCATTACACTCCTAAGTATATTAAAAATATATACATATATCGAGACCAGCAGTTAGCATAATGGCTATGTCGCTGGACTCCCATGTAGTCGACCGTGGTTTGAGTCCCGGACCCAGTGGCTTAAACTCACACCGGGCGCGTGTGCGTGCGTGCCCAAGATCCTGAGAGGAGTGGAGGAGAAGGGATTGTGGCGTGGCCATCCTCCCTGGGGGGTGATTTCTCGCTTTCTGCCTCTCTGTCTCTTTCTGTCTTGCGACACACACACACACACACACACACATATAGCTACAAAAACATGTGAATATTTGAATAACGGAAAACATCATAAAATATATATTTATGTGATGAAATACCATTATGTTAAGTATGTGTGTGTGTGTGTATATATATATATTTTTTTAAGAGAGAGATATATGCTATATGGTGCATGCACTTGATGGAGAGACAAAGAGAGAGAGAGACAGAAAGCAAGAAATTACCCCCCTAAGGGGGATGGCCATGATGCAATCCCTTTTCCTCCATTCTCCTCTTGGGATTTTGGGCACAAACGCACATACACCCGGTGTGAGTTTTAAGTTGCCGGGTCCAGAACTGAACCACTGTTGACCACATGAGAGTCCAGTGACATAACGATTACACTACCTGCTGGTCCCAAGTATATTTACATTATGAACTATAGCAGACACTGTCAGTGCCTTGCCACATCCTTCAGTGATCTTCAGTGCTCATTTTCTGATGTCCAACTCCTTCAATCTGCTTAAACGCATGCTAGGCGTGGGTGCGTGCCCCAGATCCTGAGAGGAGAATGGAGGAGAAGGGATTGCGGCATGGCCATCCCCCCAGGAAGTGATTTCTCGCTTTCTGTCTCTCTGTCTCTCTGGTGAGCGCACACACCCTATAGCAAAAACCTCTCCAAATATAAAAAAAAAGTTCAAAGTATATCTACAAGTATGATAACATCTATTGAAAAATCTAACATAAAAATAATAACTGTAATTAATAAATATATATGTATTAAAATATAAACAATTATATTTGTAATATAATATTTTATCTCTAAAAAAAGTATTAATATTGTCATGTTTTGGAATAGAAAACATGGTTGTTAGTTACAATATTTCTCTATCTGCCTAATTCTTAAAATTAATTTAAAAAAAATTTTTTTGGAGAGGTTTTTGCTATAAGGTGCATGCACTCCCCAGAAAGAGAGAGACAAAGAGATAGAAAGCGAGAAATCACCCCCCCAGGGGAGGATGGCCACACCGCAATCCCTTCTCCTCCATTCTCCTCTCGGGATCTTGGGCACACATGCACATGTGCCTGACGTAAGTTTAAGCCACCAGGTCCGGGACTTAAACTGCGGTCGGCTACATGGGAGTTCAGTGACATAGCCATTACGCTAACTGCTGGTCCCATTAATTTAAAAATTTTAAAGGATATTGTCATATACAAATGCATCTCTGAGAATACTTTTTTTTTTTTCCCCACAGAGTATATGAGCTCACCAGAAACAGACAGAGAGAAAACTCCCCATTGGGAGCATGGTCACACTGTAATCCCTTTTCGATTTCTCCATTTTGTCAGAATTTAAGGCACATGTGCACACACACCCAAATATGTTTTTCAAGCTGCCGGGGATGGTATTCAAACAACTTGGTGAGCCATGTGGGATCTGGCTCCACTAGGCCACAGAGCTGGCCCTGAAGGCACATATTAATTACTAAAGTTCTTGATAAGTGAAATTGAAGTTTCATTGTCTAAAACCATTCCTTTTTTTGAAAATTAAGTATGAAAATGTAAAAATATACAGTATTTATAACTTTGTATAGTGAGCATAAATATATATACCACCTAGATTCTATAATTAATATTTTACTATTTTTATTTTATCACATAACTATCTATCAAATACTTTAGCCATCCATCAATCCATCTTATTATCTTATGAATGTCAAGGCAAGTTCCTCCACTATTCATTCTTCCCTGCCCTGAACTCTTGGCAGCCACTGATCTTTTTACTGTTCCATAGTTTTGCCTTTTCCAGAATACTGTATAATTGAACTAACACACTATGTAGCCCTTTCATACTGACATCTTTCAGTTAGTAGGTAATATACCTTCTTTCCATTTTCCATTTCCTCCATTATATTTCTTGATTGGGGTGACTCTCCAGTGTTTTCAGGTAGCTATTTTGTCTAGATTTTATATTTGTTATCTATGAACTACGATGGATAGATATATCTCTTATATCTATTATTATGAGCTACTAAGTCAGAGTAGAGAAAAATATTTAAATAAAATTGGTACATTTAACAGCAGCAACCAGACTTTTTTTTTTTTTGGAGAGATTTTTGCTATGGGCATGTGCGCTCGCCAGACAGAGAGAGACATAGAGACAGAAAGCGAGAAATCACCCCCCAGGGGGGGATGGTCATGCCACAATCCCTTCTCCTCCATTCTCCTCTCGGGATCTTGGGCACGCATGCACACGCACCTGGCGTGAGTTTTAAGCCACCGGGTCCGGGACACAATCCACAGTCAACTACATGGGAGTCCAGCAACATAGCCATTATGCTAACTGCTGGTTACCAGCAGCAACCAGACTTTTGGCCACAGCTCAAAGCAGATTATTTGAAATCTGCTATGATGATTAAATTTTAGGGTCTGAATAGATCTCATTGGTCATATAGGCTACCAACCAATAACAGGTTGAAAAAATTAATCATAATTCCCATCACATAAACTGAAATATCATGATTCCATTACTTTTGGCATACCAATAATAAAAAGGGACAATTATGCTCAACATAAAAGGAACAAACCTGTCAAAGCTGTTTCAGTTATAGATTTAATTTGTAGGAAAACTTCTCCTTTCAGTGAAGTCCAGTTTTGAAAGTTATCATATACTTCATTTTTAATACTGGTTAGCTCTCTCTTAGTAAAAGTAAGTAATGTAAGAGTCTTATTCCAGAAATATTTATATTCCAACAATTTTTGACTGTAAAGTAGTAAAAAGAAAAGAAAAATTAGGAATTAAAAAATAGTAAGCATCATAACAAAGATTTCTTTGAAAATATGATTTTTAGAGTGAACAAATAATCTACTGTCTAAGTGGAGATCATTTTGAAAGTGAAAGGAGGTGCTGTTCATATTATGCTAAGACAACAGATATATATTGGGACTATTTCGGGCAGACTGACATACACGGTCATTCCAACTCTGTTCTATTTTGTTATTTCAACTACAAAAATACTTCACACAGGGACCAGCAGTTAGCAATAATGGTTATGTCGCTGGACTCCCCTGTAGTCGACCGCAGTTTGAGTCCTGGACCCAGTGGCTTAAACTCACACCAGGCGCATGTGTGTGCATGCCCAAGATCCCGAGAGGAGAATGGAGGAAAAGGGATTGTGGTGTGGCCATCTCCCCTGGGGAGTGACTTCTTGCTTTCTATCTCTCTCTGTCTTTCTGGTGAGCAAATGCGCCCTATAGTGAAAAACCTCTCAAAAAAACAAAACAAAACAAAACAAAACAAAACAAAACAAAAAAAAACACCCAAAAAACTTTACACACATTTATTCTACTAAATTATTTTCTTTTTAAAACTAACTCAACAACAAACATTTAGTGAAGAAACTTAGGTCAGAGCAATTTAGTCCCAGGACCTAATTGAGAATCTGAGTCTTAGGCAGCATTTTCCCTAAAGACCATGTTTCCACAAGCAGAGTAAAACCTAAGGTAATAATAATAAATCTTTCAGTGACTGATTCAGTGCTTTTGCTATATCAAATGCCACAGCTCAAAGTAATCAAGTTTTTTGTCATCTTAGTGATTTTTATTACTTCTGATATTCTGGCTATAATTTTCTTAATAATCAAGCCAGGTGCAGACATAGATTTGGGGATTATCAGCATAGGGTGATGACTGAAAGAAGTCATGAGGGTGTAATTATTTAGTCAGTACGATGCTCCTGAATAGACTAAGATCTATGATGCAGAGACACACTCTCTCTAGCCTTTATTTAGCACATTGCCTACCACATACTATTCAATATATGCTCAACAAATACTGATGAATGGGGGAATGAATAAAATCGACTCCTCCTCATTTGGAGGAATTAAGAAGTAAGAAGTGCTAAGGGAAACACACCAGACAACACAGCACCATGCCCCACTGGAGGGTGCTTTCTCTCTCTCCCTCTCTGGTGAGCACATGTACTTTCTAGCAATCAATCAATCAAACTGGGTTTAAAAGTGTATTTTTAGAATGAGAGAATTGCTACAAATAAAAATATTAACGATGATAAATTCCACTAATAGCACAAAATATTTTTTTAAATGTAACTTTAAAAAAAATTGTCAGAGAGTGTGTATACTCTCTGGAGAGAGGAAACAGAGACAGAGAAAAAGTGAAAAAAGACCCCTCCCTGGGGGAATGGTCATGGTGTAATCTCTTCTCCTCCATTTCTCTCTCCTTTCAGGAATTTGGACACATACACACTCTAACCCCACATATTTTTCAAGCCGCTGGGTTCAGAACTCAACACATGCAGTCAGAATCCAGCCACCTTAATCACCACACCACCAGCTGCCCCAATATGCCTTTTTAATAAGTAACACCACTTCAATAAATAGTACTAGTTACTTCCTATAATTTTTGGCTATATGCTCTACAACAACCTCTTCATCTTCATATGAGAATCATTTCCTTGATATGAGAATCACATATTACTTTATATACTGAGAATACAGATTACAGACTTTTTTTTTTATTTTTTAATTGCCAGAGGACAGATAAACTTGCCAGAGAGAGAAAGAGAGAAAGCTTCCCAAAGCAACCCCAATGGGGCCTGGTTACACCACAATCCTCTTTGCTCCATTTCTCTACTCCCATTATAATTTGGACACACATGCATACGCTAGGCATGTTTTTCAAGCCATCAGGGCCAGGAATCGAATCACAGCTTTACCATATGGGATCTGGTTCCCTATGTACAGGGCTTAACTACTGATCATGAAGGATAGGATTCCCTATATACTAGACTTAACTGCCACATTATAGGGCTCACTCAAGATTATACAGGCATTTTGCGTATTATGGCTATTAGTTTTTTTAATTATTATTAGCTCATTTTTGAAAAAGACACATAAAGGGACCAGCAGTTAACGTAATGGCTATGTTGCTGAACTCCCATGTAGTCGACCGCGGTTCAAGTCCCATACCTGGTGGTTTAAACTCACGCTGGGCGTGTGTGCATGTGTGCGTGCCCAAGATCCCAAGAGGAGAATGGTGGAGAAGGGATTGCAGCGTGGCCATCACCCCCTGGGGGATGATTTCTGTCTCTGTCTCTCTCTGTCTTTCTGGCGAGTACAAGCACCCTATAGCAAAAACCTCTCCAAAAAAAGAAAAGAAAAGACACACAAATATTTAGTATTATCAAATTTGAGAAATCCTCATCAAATTTTTCATATGTATGATTACAAAATTTTTGGCATTTTCAGTTTACTTGGAAAGTGACTGTTATGGTTTAGATGATGATTTGTCCCCAAAGTTTCATGTTTTGGAATTTGATGTTAGGAGGTAGTGATGCCTAGTGGGTGGTGATTGGATCACAGTGATTGTATCATGGAGGTCACACTTTCCTGAATAGATTAATAGTGTCTCTCAAGACTCAGTGAGTTCTGATTCTAGTGAGAAGGGATTAGCTCTTGCAAGATCTGGTTGGTATAAGGGAGATTCCTGCAGCGCACTCTCTCTCTCTCTCTCTGCATGTCTGCTATTCTCTGTGCTTACATGGACCATGTTGTAGGTGGTCTAATACCAGGCCTATGCCTTTGGATTTTCCATCCACCAGAATTGTAAGTTAATAAACCTTAATTCTTTATAAAACACAGTCTCATGTATTTCTGTTAGCAGTGCAAAAAATAGACTAAGATAGTGACTAATCTAAATTGTCTTCAAAATAATGAAATTCAAAGACTAGTTTATTGTAATGACCAATTTTAAGTATATTATTATTTTATGTTATACTCAAAGACAGTATAGTGGTGGTTTTTGTGAGATCATCATGAAATTTAAATCTCTGTCCAATGTATTTGAATAATTAACCCCTCTATTAAATTATCAAATAATCCAAGAACTTCTATTAAAAATTTGTTTCTCTTGATTAATTTGATTTGATGTAACCTGAAAAAAACTGCTACAATTTGCTTTTTTTTTTTCCTATTTTTTTCTTTTTTTGATGAAAGAGATATTTTTGCTAGGGGCATGTGCACTTGCTGGAAAGACAGGGAGTGACAGAAAGTAAGAAATCACCCCCTGGGGGAGATAGCCACACCACAATCCCTTTGGGGCCATTCCCCCTCAGGACTTTGGGCACATACACACATGTGCCTGGTGTGAGTTTTAAGCTGCCAGGTCGGAGACTTGAACTGTGGTCAACTATGTGGGAGTCCAGTGATGTAACCATTATGTCATATCCTGGCCCCACAATTTTCTTCCTTATGACAGAATAATTTCTATTGCTGAAATAGTTCATCTTTATTGCTTTTATCCCATTAATTTTAAGAAATTCATATACATCCAAATTTGGAGTCTGTAATTTCTTGTTTTATTGAAGCATTCTAAAATGTCTTTACCAATGGCAATTATAATGGTATATTCCCAAACTAACTTCGTTTACTCAGATTCTTCAATGTCTCTGAATACGCCAATGGCACAGTGTCATTAGAAGAGGGATGAAGGGAAAATCAGAGTAAAGAAAAATTTTGAACAATTACAACTAAGCCATTTTACTTCCAACATGTACCCTCCTAGAACCTTTGAAGCAAGTTTGGAGTAAGGGACCCTGGAACTTAAGTAATATTTGACTTATAATAAATCTGCCTACACTGGTAACCTAACTTTCTCTGTGAAATATGATATAAGACACATAACTCTAGACTGCTAAAGATGAATAGCACTAATGAGACTGAGAAGAATCTGATAATTTCAACTCAGAGTCTAATGTTTAACAATCTGAAAGTAGGTATGAAGACTAAAGCTTTTAAGGATTTCAAAGATAAATACAACTAAATGAGTATAGATAGAAGGTCTTGGAGTATTGGTAAACACCTCTATGTAGAAATACCCTCCATGTAGACAGATACACAGATAAATAATACACAGATACATACATTCATTCACACACAAATATTAGAACTAATAAACAGGTTGATCAAGGTTGTAGAATATAAGATCTATGCAAAAACCAATTTTATTTGTTTATTTTATAATCATTTTCAAAACTAAAATTAAGAAAACAGTCTCGTTCATACAACATAGGAAGAATTAACCACTAGGCAATAAACTGAATAAAAGAAGTAAAAGAAAACAAAACATTTCTGAGAGAACTAAAGATGTCCATGGAAAGGTATACCATATTCATGAATTTAAAAAGTTGCTATTTTTAAGATGACAATTCTCCCTAAATTGACCTACAGATTTAATACTATACCTACTAAATTATATCAGACTAGTTTGTAGAAATTGTCAAGCTTATCCTAAAATTCACATGGAAGTGCAAGGGATTTAAGATACTAAAATAACCTTGAAAACACAGAAGAAAGTTGGAGGACATAAATGTCATGATTTCAAAATTTACTTAAAACTGCACTGTTCAAGAGACTGTAAGAATAATGAAATAGAATAAAGCATCCAGAAATAATCCCTTACACTAATGTGAATTTTTTTCAGGTAAAGGTGACAAGGCAATTTACTAAAGAATAGTCTTTTCGACAAATAGTACTAGAATAATTGAATATCTATATGGAAAAAAGATAAATATAGACCTTTACCTCACATCACTACAAAATATAACTCAAATGGATCATGGACCTAAATGTAAGACATAAAACTATAAAATGTTTAGAAGAAATTACAGGACCAAATCTTTGTGATCTTAGCTTAGGCAGAGTTCTTAACTACATCATCAAAAGCATCATAAATAAAATAAAATAA